TAATTATTTAATCCATAATGAATGTAAGTTTAATATTATTAGTATAAATATATTTTTAAGACAATCGTTAATGCTTTTAGTTGTTCAAAAATGTTTATGTTATAGAAGAGAGCTATATGAAAAACATTTAAAAAGCCATGAGAGGTTTATAAAATAAGTTGAGGTTACCATTAACGATATTCTCGTACTATAATGCTGCCAAAATAAAAACACTTAAAAGTTAAGGTTCAGGTTTTTTATTTTTGCACTATTTTTTAATTTAAATTTTATCTGTTAAGTGATGCGTGAAAATTACAAATTTATCAGGACTTCTCGAGGTTGAAACATATTTTTTGTTTTTTTTTTTTGGCGTTAAAAGTATATTGCACAACATCCAATGCAAAATCGCGTCTAAAATATTTGGTAGTAAATTATCAAAGAAAAATACATAACAACACGCTGTAGAACAACGTTGTTTTTATTTTCAGTTAATCTCGTCTAATGGGCATTATTATCTATCGATAAAATTCGTAATTAGTTTCATAAAAAAAATTTAAAAAATAACCCATTGTGCTGACAATCTCATCGTACTTGCTGTCCGTTCGTTTTGAAATTTGATCTAAAACTAGTGTCATCAAACAGCAGGAGGTTGCGCTATTTAAACTCCACGTAGAAAGCTTTACTCGAACCAAAAACAAAAACTTCCTTTAAAAAAAAAATATGTTTATATTATATTTTATTGTGACTATAGACGTTTTCTTATGAATAATAACTCTATCAAAAAGACTCTTATCGTTTTGTAATGGTATATTATTTGATATAGCGTTTTATATTAAAGAACATAATATTACATTGCACGACGTATCTACACTTCAATCGAATGCTATATAACTCGATCAATATTTAACTGTAACATAAGACATACAAACCCGAAAATTAAAAAGAAAATTCGGAAATGTAGTCATGAATATATTATAAGTTAATCATGTGTATAATATTATATTTACCTACCTTGTGTTTTCTATAGTCAACGATTACAAATAAAAAAACGAGATGATACACAATATTCAAGAAATTCGCATTTATATATTTTTTCTTATTTGCTTTATTTAGTTGTAAACAAATTACATTCTGTAAGTTTGTACAATTTAATGAATTTTTTTTTAACACTATAAAGATTGCAATTTATAATATAGTTAGTGTAATATATCATTTATATACCTACCTCGTTTATCTTTTATAGTTGAGCAATAAGATAAAGTGTTTTTAAGCTAATTATTTAAATGCTTTTAACTAAATAGTTTACATGACTATCAAAAAAAAAAAAAATGATATGTCATTTCTTCTGCATTCATGTTAAACTGTTTTTATATTTTTAATTTGAAAATGATGATTTTTTAAATATTCACATAAATACTTTAAGCTTAACTAAATGTTAAACCAAACTGGTGAAAATGGTCACTAGTATTTTTAAGTACACTTGGTGAATGATTTCTGGTACATAAATTGTACTCTGTATTTATGAAGAAATAGGTTAAAATGTTATCGCGAATTATGATATATATCTCACTGATCAGTGGTTTGGTGAAAAAAATAAAAACACATTATTATTAAAAAAAAAAATTAAGTGTTTGAGGTAAAAGAGAAGTAAATATAAAATAGCTATTGATTTTACAATTATTACGTTGGGATTTAATATTCTTCATACTAGCTGTGTATGTCATCAAGATAAACGATACATTCGAGAAATGTATGAGGCAAGCATCTTGTAGTAATACTAATTTTTTAAGTTAAATTGTGTGGCTGGTATAAACTTTAAAATTAATTCCAGTTGTTTTAACTTCTGGATCTTGATTAAATTTTACATGTAAGAACAAACTACCATTAGGAACTGTAAATCCATGAATCTGTAAAACTAAAAAAAAAATGTTTTGCGAATAATGTCATACTATTGATTTAAATATTTTATTACTAAAACGTGAACATTTGAACATAAATCGAATTGAACACTTAATTTTAATATTTCTTAAAATAATATTTACAACAGTAATTCATTTTTAAACAAATACCTATCGAAAAATGTTTATTATCGAATTTATTTTTATTATTGTAACATAGTTTAAACTAATGAAAAAAACTATTCATCCGCACATTCATTAACACATTATGATACTAGTTGTCATATTAATTGAGCATACGTTTTTCGGATGCGTCATTCGACGACTTCGTTTTCTGTGTTGTTCATATAGTATGTGAACCAGAGAAAATAAAATATCTAAGAAAAAAATAAAGCATTGTTTTGGGTTTAGTTTTTACAAGAACAAAAAGCACATTTATCAATGTTAACTGGTACCAGTCATGTTCTGAATGACACTTAACAGATAGAACACAATAACAATTCAGCTACATAACAAAAAAAAAAAAAAAATTGCATGCGCCTTTAGGAAAATTGCGTTAACGCTATTAAAGTAACAACTAACGACTATTTCTCTCTTCTATTCTCATCAAAGAGACAGAATTTGATAGCAATAAATTAGATTTACGCATCCGTTTTAGTGCACATGTCGACACATTTTACAAAGTTGGAGTATTCTTTTAAGCTTTACTGCAATAGTGAGTTTAAATAAAACTTAATTGTGTTATTCCCCTATAAATGACAATAAAATAAAAATACGTTTGACTTGCAGCCATCTCGTTAAAAATTATGATTTTTATAAAATAACATATTTTTAAAATATCCTAAATAATGATACAAATTTTTCAAATTACCTTGAAAAAAAAATCAAATAACAAAAGTAGTAGGTAGTAAAATGTTTGCTTCATTGTACCTATTTAAAATGTCTCATTATAAATCGTTTAAATCAAGATTAGGACTAGTAATTAGGTACACGAATTACAAACTAACAACATGACTGACGGTTTATGAATGTCTGTTAGAAATTAAATATTAGTAATAATTATTTAATTATGTTTTAAAGAGTAAAAGAATAAGTTATAGTTAAAATCAAAATATATCCCGATTGTTTTCCAGAAAGTATTGGTATTTATCAACACAAAAATACTCTTCAAAATAGCGTTCAAATATTACACTATTTTTAAATGTTTAAAAATTAAATATTTCCTACTAAAATATCTAATTATACAATACATACATAATAATAATGATAAATATTCGTGATCTACATTATACAATGTGTTAATCAAAAAGTTTAATAAAAGAATTCGATTTTTCTATGCACACACGGGACTAAAAAACGTTTACAATTTTTGCTGTAAATCGGTAAAATGTGGTCAGACCGCCAACTGTACTACATTAATAATTTAATACATTATCAACTTCCATGCTTATGCTTCCACAATATCAACCGACTGTGTAACATCCTCAGGGTGAACGAAGTGCAGTTATCGACCGTATTTATTATGTTTCCCCGTAGCACGCAGGTAAAGTTAATAACCGTGGTTGGGTTGTTTCATATTATAATGAAAGATAAACCCCCATTAAGATAAAATATTCCATCGAGATAACCATCGGGGACAATGTAAAATACGCGTTCAGATGACATCACTATAGTCTATTAAATGTTTTTCTCGCGGTAAATGTGTTGTAAAATTGCGGGTATGGTGTTTTACCGGCAAATGTATCCTGAATGAAATAACAAAAAAACTGCATAATATTTACACTCTACACAACCCGTTGGAATGAGTTAAACACCGCGATATGTCAGAGTTTGTTCATTAATTAAAAATATAAAACAATTGCGAACGCCCGTTGAATAACATTATTTTGTTATGCGCAACAACATTATACATTCTAACGCCAGCACATTTACACTAAATTTTCGTTTCACCCACACAGTTGGCATGTTTTAGCATTTGATGTAAACATATATGCGCAAATATAAAACTGTTTTACACATATTCGGTGTATTTAATTTTAAGTTTCAGAAGCTATATAAAAAGGTTGAACGCGAGAATGAAAAAAAAAAATCCCAAAAAATTATTCTTTAATTATGATTTTATAACCTTGAGCGTTTCTACGAGGAATATTTATTTTTAATTGTATATTTTTTATTTATTTCTGCGGGAATAAAATATAAAAACGATATGTATTATAAATACAGTCGTGGATATGTTAATTCTTGCACACCAATAACTGTGATGGCAGTAATACAATTAAAATGTTTTTTTTTTTTCATATGTTTAATTGCAAATCATTATACTGTACATCGATCACAACAGCCACACTTTGGTCTCTCCTGAAATATTCAATTTAGCTCTCAATCTGACGAACCAATAGGTACTAAATAATATTTTGTCCACATTCTATATGTGATATTTATTGTGTAGACTGCAGATGGAAAGCGAATGGGTAAAATGCGTGCAGATAAAAATAACTCTGCACTCTAATCTTCATTCCGGCATACATTTTAGTTATTTAATACTTTGAAACTGGTTATTGACTAGTCAAAATACATATACGGTACCATTTAAGATTCAAAAGTTGATAAGGCTCTAGAAAATGCCTACTAAAAAAGATAAAAAATTTGACAATTGCTTAACATTGTAATTTATCATAAGCAAAAATGTTGTCAAAAAGAAAAACTACAAAATGTCAATAATTTTTTGAGAAAATTAGTGTAGGGCGTTTAAAGAATCATACGGTAGATATAACAAGTATAAATTACTTATACATACAAAATATGTAATTAATTAAAACCAACATTACTTGATTGTTTACCAGCTTTGAAATGACAAATAATTAAAAATAACAAACGACTTGGATTTTTCTGCTTTTATTTCCAATACAAAAAAATAAACCCAAAAAAAAACCAAACAATACAAATGGCGAGGACTAGCGTTCATTCATCACCCCAAGGACAGAATTTTTAAACGGTATATAAAAGCCAAAGTGATATGTACCGATGAGAATATTTGGAAACGGCGCGATCGTTAATAAATAATTTACCACTATTAACTTTACTTATACTGTTGGGGGGGGGATTTTTTTTTCTGTATTTCAGGTATTGATTTCTCGACGTTTGTGTAAGAAACAAAAAACAAAATGAATGAACTTTGCGCTTGATACGGGACAGGAACAATGAACGACAACAGCAGTGCGCCCGAAGCCGTAGCAGATAACAATAACTGCAGCGACTACTATGACAACAGCGGCGGCGGCAATTCGTCAAACCTTTGTCCGGTGTTCAGCACGGCCGACGGCGACGAATACAGTTTACTATTCGAGTTCATTACTTACGGGATCCTGTTAAACGTGATCGGAGTGTTTGGCATACTCGGTAATGTGATATCCATGATCATATTGTCCAGACCGCAGATGAAGTCGTCGATCAATTACCTGTTGATCGGTTTGGCCCGCTGCGACACGGTGCTGATAATCACTTCCATGCTGCTGTTCGGTCTTCAGAGCATCTACCCGTCTACCACATATCTTTTCAATTATTATTACAAGGTACGACCCGTGTTATGATCAATTTTTTTCGATCGATTTTCGGCTGCAACTGCTATTATAGCTGTTACAGAAGGCGTTCACAAAGTTTTACATGTTTTTAATTTTGTTTTATTAACTGGTCGCTCGAAGAAACGGGACGATTGCTTCGTTATCATTCGGGTTGGGCCTCTACGGGTTCATGTCGAGGTTGATTCGATTATTTTGCTTTTGGCGACATTCTGTTATTACGTATGACACCGCAAGTTTCGCATTGCGGTGTAGTGTTTCTTTGGCCATGAGAAATACATGGGTTAGTCCGGTGTGGCCTATTCGTAGGCGATGGATAACGATTTCTTCATTTCGTTTGAGGTTTGGTTTTTTCCACCGGAGGACTGTGGTTTTTGCTTGCGTGTTAAGTTTAGTGTATTGTTGTTTCCATAACTTAAGCAGTTTTTTTTTTTAATCAAATTAGCTTTGATGAATGTTATTATACCGTTGTAGGGTGTTTGTCCCAGTTTAGATGGGTTATGGCAATTTCGGCACATGTTTGTCACAACGGTTTCGTTGACTTATACAAGGTGATTTATTAAGGGTAAGATACTAATTTTCTCGGAATATATTAATATTTTGAACAATAATTTTTTCCAAGATTTTTTGGTACACGTTGTACTATATTTTTCAATATTTTGAAAATGTTTATTATCAATCCTTGAAGGCCAAAAAGGGGAATTTTAGTTTTTTTTATGGCAACATATGTTTTTAATTACATAAATTTGTAGAAAAAAAATAAAAAAATATTTTAGCGTTTGAATTATTTGATTTATTTAATTATTTAATTTTGATTTATTTGTTCATCAGCTATGACTTTGTTAAGATATTACATTTTCTTTTAATAATTATAATGTTTCTTCGGTTTTCCAAAACCGGTAGCACATAAAGTTCATATTTATGTTCGCATTGTCCATTTGGCGATAACACTCTAACAAAAAAAAAAATCACTGGTATAAAAGACTTTGAAATAATGATAGACAAACGGTTCTTATCTACAGATTACCTATTCCAACACAGATACACAGGTTGGTTTTACAAACCCACTTTATCAAAATATTTTTTGTGCGTGCAATAAAAACTACTCGTATTTGTAGTAACGATTGAAAACATTAAGAAATACAGTCCAAAAATCAAATCTTTATAAAGTCATAATAAATGAACAAATAAATGAAAATTTAAAATTCAAACGCTAAAATGTTTTTTTATTTTTTGTCTACAAATGTATGTAATTAAAAACATATGTTGCCATTTAAAAAAACTAAAATAAGGGGGATTTGTACACAATGTGTACCAAAAAATCTTGGAAAAAAATATTGTTCAAAATATTAATATATTCCGAGAAAATTAGTGTCTTATCCTTAATGAATCACCCTGTATACCGGTGTGACCCCGGGTATCCGTATGAGAGTTGCTTGGTTTATTTTTTTTTTGCAGAGGCTTCTTCTATGCGTTATTATTTATAAATACGTATTTTATTTTTTTTGTAATTCTTCAATAAGTCACCCGAACGGACGGCAGTTTTTGGCGGCTAGGAAATGTTGTAACCGAACGTCATTTTCGCCGAACGACACGTGTTTAGCACAATAATGGCCAACTAGTTTCAGGCTGGAGAAGTTTGCCATTTCACGGTCTATTTAGTTTGTTGCTGCTAATTGCGACTAATTGCCGCTGGTGTAATTATTTTCAGGTTTACCCGCTCATTGCACCGGTCGTCTACCCGATCGCCATGATTTCTCAAACCGTGTCCGTGTACCTGACGCTGACGGTGACACTAGAACGTTTCGTGGCCGTCTGTCACCCTCTACGGGCCCGGTCGCTGTGTACTTACGGCCGTGCCCGCGCCTACGTGGTGGTCATCATCGTGTTTTCCGTGGTGTACAACATCACCAGGTTTTGGGAGGTGCGCGTTCACAAGTGTATACACCCCGAGTACGACCAGTACGTGTACCAGGTCTACCCGAGCCCACTGCGAAACGATAAATCGTACATATCCATTTACATACACTGGATGTATCTGGTCATCATGTACTTCATACCGTTCGGCTCGTTGGCCGTGTTGAACGCAGCCATCTACAATCAGGTAAGTTTCTTGTCTATATTGGTTTTCCGCCAAAACCGTACCGTTACATCATATCTCACTGTTTTATACGTCATATTTTTCAAATTTTATCAGCGACTATTAATTTAGTAAACCAAGTTGATATAACCTGCACGTTATATATTCTGTTTTCTGGCCGTGATTAGTTAACAAGTAAAATTGCTGGTTCAAGCCCAACTGTTAGGTTCAAACATCTCTTTACGTAGGTTTTTTGTATATTTTTATTTCACCAAACGAGGTATCTATATTTAAATAAATCAACTCGGTTAGGTAACAAGATTGAATTAGGTGAAAAACCATACGAATAACGCTGTAAGGCGAGGTCGACCCCCAATACTCAGAAGAAAGAACGATGACTAATGTGGAAATACAATATGTGTAATATTTCTTAGAAAATTATTCAAAAATAGGATACACGTGTGTATTTTATCTGATATCTCATTTGAACACAAGCTAAAAATTACAAAATGTAACCGATAACTATTTTATGTAGAAGTAATAAACCACATTGTGTATTTTTATTTCTGTAAGCATTGAATTCACTTACTATATTATGTTGTGGCTCGTACAGTCTAAAATGTATATTATACAGAATTTAAAATAACATTAACATTGCAATTGTGCTAATTGTTACGCTATATAATTAAAATTATTATATATTTATGTATAACATTGGAACAACAATATTATATTATAAAAATTTGTTGAAGTTTAGGGTTTGTTGATAAAAATTATTTAATGGGTGACCTAGCTATTGGCTATTGGCTCGACTCTTGGTCACTAGTCTTTTGTCTTGCTGGACAGGTGACTTTTTTCAGGAGAAACTTCTTTCTCTAACCATGGTGCTAAACTTATTTGGCGAATGTTAGGTTGGCAGCTAACAGCTATAATCCCGACCCGCCAAATCAAAATTTTGTCAGGCCCGTCTGGTCGGGATATACTTAGAGGTCGCACGTAATGGAAGATACAATAGTTTTGATAATACAGCAACAGTAGTAAAATATTTAAGGAAACACATTTTTTTTTATATAATATAACGTACACATTTAAAAAGAATGTATCACTGTTGACAATATATTATAAACACATCAGGGAAAATATGATGCAAATCATTCACAGACAACAGTGGTGTCTGTATTATATAATATTATTATGTCACACATAAGCTTCCATTGCATAATAGGCTGTAATTTGTTTTAATTTAAATCCAAGCAGGTATTCTCTGGTTTCGAGATGAGGCCGTGGCAATCTAAACGTATCATTTCACAAACGAAATATTTATTTTGGTGATTTATAGTGGGAGGTGCCGTCTGAGTAGGCGAATGCGTTTTATTACTAACCCTTTATCAGTTTTATAACGTTATCGAACGCACTATATATTATACTTTTCTAGGGAGGGAAGTCGCATTAATATACATATATTTTAACATTTTGAAGACGTTCAATAAATTACACGGTATATTCTATTATAAAACACCATTACACCGAATATGTTATCATTATGCCGTATAAATTAGTGACAAAACAAATATTTTATAACTAGGGCTTTTTTAAACCTCGTGTGAGGCTGAGTTGACTTTGATAAAAAATACACTATAAGTAATATTGTTCTCAAAATTTTTATCTCGCTACGATAATTAACCAATCAGTTCTATTTTTTGAAAACTGACATAATATGCAAATGAGAACATCTCCACCTTCACTTTTGTATAGCTTGTTAGTTTAAATAATTATATATGTATTTCTGTGTCTACAAAAATTGTACTTTGGGCCTCAACCTGTTTTGAAAAATAAATAAATAAATATGTAGTTTTTGCTTTGAGTGATTTATATTTTTTATAAATACGGACTGAGGTTTAAAGTTTAACGGCGAATAATAATTTATAAAACCAAGAATCAATAATAGCTGTACGAATTTAAAAAAAATGTATATTGGACTTTATTCGACATTGTTTTCTTGTTATTAATATTTTCCAATATTGGTGGATTTATGTATTAACTTTTAATTCGTCCATCGCAATGTTTTCCCATTAAATACAAAACAACCAACTTGACAAAAATAAAAATTATTCAATTCATATTATCACAATATACATCCAGTAGTCCAGTGGACTTGTACCAAACAAACAGAATTAAAGTTTTGATATGCCGGTCATTATTTGTTTAACGTACTTTTTAATGTACACGTCCATATTATGTTTACTCGGTAAATTGGAAGCGGTTGTGTTTTTTCCAATTATAAAGCAAACGATTCCAACAAAAAACAAACCAAACACTAAAAAGTATATTGAATTCTATAAAAATGTGGTAACAGTAGATTTACAGTAATTCTTCAACTAATAAATTAACAGACTAGACACTATTAACCCATTAGACAACATCTAAAACGCTAAAACGACAAGCATTTTCACTAAAAAAAAAAACCTTTTTTAAAACATCATTAATTTTTTTTTTAGGGAAATTAGTAAGAACTTCAATTTTCACACGTCACGTTTACCCGTTAAAGTTATTAAATATTCGACGGAATTTTCTAATAAAATCACTACACCGCACCAAGAGATTCTCGGCTTTATTGTGTTTTTTTATTTGTATTTTATTCGTTTTTGACAGGTCCCCGACCGAGCTATCGTTCAATGGCTTCTCACGACCCAAAAAATAAACTACACCAGTTATATATTAGGTTTTTTTCGCCCTTGCTTTATCCGCATTCCCTCGTCTAGAAACAGGCTTTTATGCTATTCCTTATATACGTTAACCGCGTTGTTCTTCGAATCTTCTATGGATTATTTTTCAGCCACTACGTCGAACAGTTTGCGCCTCCATCTAGCCTATGTTTTTTTTATTGCGCTCTATACGTTGTTTCGATAATTGAAAAAATTGTTTTTTTTTTTTAAACTATATGGTACTCGACAGCTGTACGGATTTCACTATTGCAAAGTAATTGTTGTTTGCTAAACGTCGGCATAATAATTAGTTTTACCGAATTGGCGGCCAAGTATATTATAATTTGATTACTGTTATTAATATGAACACAATAACGATTGATAAATATTTTATTACAGTTTTTTCGTATACTTATATATAAATATGTACACAGTGATTTTTATTCCTGACGAATAAAACAAAAGTTTGGTTACATATTATACAACTACTCGCAAATATTTGCTTAAAAAATAAAAACAAATACCACCGCATGTATTTTGAATGTGAATCTCTTGACTATTATAAGGATATTGTATAAATCTGTGGACTTAAAACTTCACTTTTGCCGATTATTAATGCAACAATGAAACAGGTCGTTTTGTAGGTTGAACTACCCGTTTACTTTACGGATTTACCAGTTAAGCTTTTCTGGGGTTTACCCTTTTTTTTTTTTTTTTTTACAAAAATGAAATAGCACCAAACTGCTACATTTTCTGTATGTATATTTTTGAATACATTGAACGCGGTATAATGTATAAGACAAATGTATATTGTAGAAAATAAAATCGGATTTTACTTATTACATATCCGGCGAAATGACATCATTTTTTACAGAGGGTGTGACGGCGTTATGAATAGGCAATACAGCTACATCAAAGCGCTCTAATCGAAAAATATGCCTTATCTCATATAAAAATAAAATACTTTAACATTTCTGGGTCATACCCATTTAAGACTGACAAAAACGCTTAAAAAAAACCCCCCCAAAAAGTAGATATTGTTGAAACGTAAATAATGTGTTAGTGGCAAGTATTTTATTTCTGTGTTGTGATTAAACAGAAAGAAAAGGAATTTTTTTTTAATCCGTCTTAGTAAGTAAGTCGTCGGTTTTTAGTGCACTGTTATGGTTAAAAAAAAAAAGGTTATAATAATTAAACATTTATATATAAGTTGAGTCCAAAATTAAAAAAGTTCATTATTTAGTCATTATACAGTCTTGATAAAACATAAAAATACTTTAAAATCGGTGACCGAACTAGGCCTACTCCTGTTTTAAGTCAATATGGTTTTTTTTTTTATTCATTCACTATTAATTATTAATAAAATAATATAATTTGACATCAATCGCATTTTTTTTTGTTTCTCTGAGGGCTACAAATAAATTCAACAAAAGTATTAAGTGTCAAATTTATAGTAAATGCATATTTTTCAACAGCTGTTTCATTATTTAAATAACATCTTTAATATTAAAGTTTATAATTTAGATAACCCATTGCTTTGCTTTTCTTAATATAAAATTGTTTTCAAGATGAAATTACAATGTCAGTAAATTGTTGACTAATATATATTTTCAAAAGTGCATTTAAAAAAATCTGTAATTATGCGGCATGGCATTTTTATTGGGTATTAAATATTCTTGTACTTTTAATTTTTTATTCACACTATTTAACAATATTCAATTTAAAATGTTTATAATTTTATTCGTGTTTCCTAATAGCAGGTACAAGTCCTTTGAGAGTTAATAATAAAAAAATAAAGTTTATTTAAACGTTTCTACGTAATGAAATAAATTATAATGTTCAAAAATGTTCACAGAGGTTTACAGTTTTCGGCAACAGCATTAAAAAAAAAAAGACTATAATAATATTTTTACTTAAAACGTTTGTATTTCTTTTTCTTTTTTTTAATAACAACATAAAACATTGACAGTGTAAAAGCATAACACCACTAAAACCACAAAAATTACTTAGGTGTTTTACGTTTGAATGAGATAACCAACTTTAAATCAGATTAAATTCGCCACTTTTTACACAACGTAAAACAAATAACAAGTAGAAAAAGTTCCGAGGAAATCTTTACCGAAAACTAATTTTTAATAGTGGATAAAAAATGTTTTATAAGAAAAAGTTATTTCCTAAAATAATTCACATCAAGTTAAACTAAAACAATATTCTTGAAATTATACCGTTTTAGCCAAATTGCATGTAATGTTAAAAATAAAATTGTTAATTTAACATTATAAAAGTTATCATATTTTGTTAAAACCACTAATTTTAAAC